ACCGAATTTTTATTCAAGCTATCACAAATTTGAAATTTCAAATGAGTAATGATAATACGGTGTGAGATAAAATATGTATAAAATAAAAAGACAATATCCGACCAATAAAATAAAATATAGATAAATTCATAACCATATATATAATAGTAAACTATATCTGACCAAAACTGTTTTTAAAAAGAATAAAATAAAAATAATAATAGTAAACTACATATATGTGTGGTAACGGGGAAGGGACGTCACTTGTAAACCGCGTTAACGTCATCTTCGTGATGTCATGCCACTCTCATTTTGAATTTCTCCTTTTTGAAACTTTTTTTAAAAACGGTCTTATCTTTACATTTGCAGTGACTCGGTCTTTTGATTTAACCGATGAGTGTTTTTATTTTTGTTTTTATACTTTTCGTAACTTTTATGACACAATTTCCTCCGGTTGGTTCGAAGCTGACAACGTGCTCTAGTATTACTATCCATTTTTTTTTTGATGGGCTCATCTTTTAATTTTAAAAAAATTTCAAAAAATACCATTTTCAATTTTTATTTTACAAAAATATCATATTTTTAAAAAATTTTACAAAAATACCACTTTTTTGAAAAAAAAAAATTTATATTATTTATGTTTGGGTTAATTATGTTCTATTAGGGTTTAAGGGTCAAAATGTTTTTTAGGGTTTAGAATTTTAAGATATAGTGTTTAAAAATCTATAATTAGTGGCATTTTTGCAAATTAACACTCCTAAATAGTATTTTTGCAAATATGCACATAAAAAGTGGCATTTTTGCAATTTATCCTTAATTTTATAAAGTGAGATTGCAGATATGTCCATATCTTATATTTATAAAAAAATATGGTTGTATTATTTAAAATATAAAAGTGCATTTAAAATATAATATAGAAAAAATCATTCTCAACTAGACCAACTATTAACTAATATGTTATAAACTATCCGAAGTATTGAAATGTTCTCTAAACTACACTAACTATATGTAAACATGTTAAAAACTACAAATTAATTTTTTTTATAATTTTAATTCTATTTTGGGGTCAATTTGTAATTATTTTCTTAAAGATCAACTAAAAAATAAAATAAAAAATTGAAAAATAGAGGAAAAATCCATAAAACTTTAACAAAAAGTAGATAAATTAATAGTTCAATTTTCATCTAAAAACACTAAAAAAAATTTCAATTTAGAAATTAAAAAAAAATTGTAAAATCTCAAAATTTTGAAGATTCATAAATGTGAAATTTACAAAATAATTCTTAAGTTTAACATTTCTAAAAATTATTATAATACAAAATTCAATGTATGTTCTCTTGTCTTTTTGCACCATTAGGTCAACCATAAGGTTTCCAAAATTTTATTTAGGATTTACTGATTTCCAAATTGGTCGATAAATTTTAAGATTTTTTACAAATTTAATTTGGTTTCRAAAATTAATTATTTAAAATATAAGTTTCTAAAATATATTAAACTGTAAGTTTTTGGGACTTTTTTGGGCAAATGTAAGTTTTTMAAATTTTTTTGGTTGGTTCTAAAC